CAAACGAGGGGGTGGGGGTGGGGGGCTGAACTGTCCTCCCCCTTAATTAGCAAACTCAAGGCAAATTAAACTCAGCCTTGTTCCCGCTCTGCTTTTTCATGGGGGCACTTTGGGGGACGGGAGCATTGGGGGAGAACAAGCGGGACCCTGTGGCACTCTGAAAGGTGGGAGTGGAGTGGCATCTCAGGAGCCCAGGGGCTCTGACTGGCCACCGCGATCAGGACATGGGCTGCAGTCGCTACTGTCTTCCTCATCTGTGTGGCACTGCTGGACCAACTTAGGCAGTGCCCCTGAATGGAGGACCCACCACCCAACTTCCCCAGGCAGCCGCTGATGGCAGCTGACTTCAACCTCATAGTTCGCTAGACTCCTAGATGCAAGCTCTGGGGAAGGCTACCAGACCCTCTCCAGAGGTAAGAGACGTGGCTGAGGCCGAAGCCACAGTCCTAGGGACTGGACAGGAGAGGAGGAAAGAGGCTCTCTCCCCCACCCCCCACCCAGTTCAGTTTCTTTTATTTCCTTCCTAAGTCACAGTCTCCCTGAAGGCTTCACTTTGCCCAGGCCCTGAGTGAGGCCTGTAAAGTCGCTGTCCACTTGGCTTCCTTTGGGCCATCTCTAGTCCTGCTCACCTGCCAGTGTTCCCTAGCAAGGCCGGAGAACAGGCAAACTTCCATTCTCTACTCAGGGCCTTGGCCTGGCAGAGGAGGCGCTATATTTAGGCAACTTCAGACTGGCAGAAAATAGAAAGCACATTGGGCTCGGCAGAGACTAAGGTCTTCACTCACTGGCTGAGCAAGCAAGAAACATGCTTTTTTTTTTCTTTATATTTTTCCTTACTTAATTACTTTTACAAAGTTTTGCATGCTTTGCAAAAAAGCCTTTGCTCTCGGTGGGGATATATGTGGGAGAAACGGCTCCAATGAGGGTACCGTGGCCCTTTGGGAAAGGCTCATTGGTAGGTTTTAGAATGAAAAGTGACTAGGCTTCTCACCTGGACTCTCTGGTCTTAGAGGGGAGACCATGGAGTGGTCAGCCCTTGGGGTATGTGTCTGGGGGGCTGAGGTCAGGCCTCTGGCGTTTGATAGGGAGGCACCGTGCTGCATCTAACGATGCCCGCTTGCCTCTCCCCACAGGTAAAAGTATGGTTTCAGAACCGGAGGACGAAATTCAAAAGGCAGAAGCTAGAGGAAGAAGGCTCAGATTCTCAACAGAAGAAAAAAGGGACACACCACATTAATCGGTGGAGAATCGCCACCAAGCAGGCGAGTCCGGAGGAAATAGACGTGACCTCGGACGATTAAAAAGTACAAACCTAATCCCACAGAAATGGACAGCATGGAGCAAAAGAGACAGGGAGAGGAGGGGAAGAAGGAAAAAAAAAACCCTGCAAAACAAAACCAAACTGCACACACATTCACCAAGAAAGGGAGAGAGGGGGAGTCAGAGCAGTGGCTCTCAGCAGACTTTGGACAGCGAGGGCACTGGACCAGGCACTGCGCACAGGAGATGGCAGAGGACAGACGGACGGAGGCCCCTTCATCAACATGCAACCCTCGTCTAAAGAGGCAGCTGAGTGAGTGAGAGAGACAGAGACTGGGAGGGAAAGAGAGAAAGGGGGAAGAAAGAATGAGAGAGAGAGAGAGAGAGAGAGAGAGAGAGAGAGAGAGGGGCGGGCCTTGGGGGGCACAGGCACACCCTGACAAGAGGAGCTGTCAGTCAGATGCCAAACCAGGGAAACAAGATGATTGGCAGGTATTCCGCTTATCAAAGTCCATTTAGAAATGATAATGATTTTTTAAAAAGGCACAGGACTTTTAATTTTGCACTTCACAGTGTCCCCCCAAGTTTAATTAGAAATAACATACAAAATTCCATGTCTAGCCCCATCCTACACCTGTTTCAAAAACTTGAATTGCATGTAGCAGTTGTTGGGCGAATGGTGTCTAAAAAATGAATTGTAATTTTATTTTTCTGTTAAAGACAGGTTCTGTGTATTTTTATTTTTTTCTGAGAAATGTGCAGTCTGTAAAAAAAAAAACACTTTTTGATACCTTCTGTTGTCAAAGTGATTGTAAAAGCTAAATGAAGTAGGCTCGGAGACAATGGTCCTGTTACAGAAAGATGAGGGAGCAGAATTGGGATGGAGGGCGGGGGAGGGTGCCCCGAGAAGAATCAGGACTTACACTGGGGTGAAACAGCAGCAGCAGCAGCAGCAGCAACAACAACAACCAAAACCTAAATTAATTCTATTTCTTGGATATTTCCTTTCCTAATATTCTGAGACTTAAATCCACCAAGTCAACTTTCCTTCCAGTGGTTGGAGAAATTGACTGCATCCAGTCACTCAATGAAATGACCATTCAGAACTTTAAGATTGTCTATTGCAAAAGTGGAAGGAAAGACTGTAGTTAACGGGGTGGTGGTAGTGCGGCCAAGGACATGGGGGTTTTCAAGCACTGAGTTTTTCTTCCAAGACCATAGACTTACTAAAGAGGGTGACAAATGCTTCCTTAGTGTCTTCTATACCAGAATGTAAATATTTTTGTGTTTTGTGTTAATTTGTTAGAATTCTAACACACTATATACTTCCAAGAAGTATGTCAATGTCAATATTTTGTCAATAAAGATTTATCAATATGCCCTCAGAGTAGTTGTCTTGGGAAATTGAAGTGGATCTTTACAGAAGTAACTCTCTAATTCCAATATGGTCCTTCTCCAACTAAGCTCGAGGGACCCTGACTCCCCACCCACAAAAGAGCCACACTGATGGCTTGGGGTGGGGGGGACATGTAATTTAGAGAGATGTGAATGCAGAAGGGAGAGGATTAAGACAGCCAAACTCTTTCAGAGAGGGAAAGGTGAGAAGCTGTCCAAGCAACTTTATTGAAGGAGTTTAGTTTCAACTTAGGGAATAAAGCTAAAATAAAATTCTTACTTCTCTTTTCCTCTGTCTTCTTTTTCTTTTTAAAGTTTAGAATGTAGTTGTGAATTGAAAAATATCTCCAGGAAAGCACTTGGAACCTGGGTTCCGAGGCCTCTAACTTTGTTTCTGACTTCAAACCCTTTAAGGACACATCTGAGAACTGCCTTTCTCTCCTGTCCTCTCTTCTTTCCTTTCTCTTTTTGCCCTGATCTGCCAAAAGTGATGGGGATGAGCTCAAAGGCTCCAGACGCCTTATAAGGCAAGCATTTTGAGAAATCTTCCACTCTCAATTTTAACACGGAAAAGAAAAAGTTGTAACCATTCTCAAAGAAAAACTTCCCTCCCCCTCCCCCTCCTGGGGGTCTGAGGTTGTTTTTTGCACGCTTCATTTGCTTCCTATCCTGATAGGCTGCATTAATCAGTTTTATTTCCATTGATAGAGAAACCTCGTCTGTTCTGTTCCAGCTACAAAGCGTCCTGTGAGCTTTTGTGAAAGTGCAAATCAGTTTAAGCAATTATCATACCAGGAATATGAAGGGAAAAGAGAAGGCCTTGCCCAGTGGTCTCCTTTAATCTCTTAATCCACGGATCCAGGGGGGCTGCCTGGACATAATTTAGGACAATCTCCCCCACCCTTTACACTGTGATAAGGCCAAGTTACAATGCAGGGCAAAAATACAAGCTTTGTTAACATCCTGCCTTGAGAAGTTAAGATTAGACTTTCTGTGAATGTGTGGGGACTACAGGGCACCATGGAATCTTTTCTTTCTGTTTTTCCTCCCCTCCCTTAAAGGAGGCTCCATTCTCTGCTTCTCTCCCTCCTTCTTGCTCCTTGTATCTCTGTCACCCTTTTCCCCTTGGTCTTGGTCCCTGGGTAGACCTGGCTGCTCATATTATGAGATCACAACGACCCTTCCTCCGAAGTTTGTACTGTGGGGACTGCAGGCAGAGAGAGGCAGTTTCAGGAAGACACAGGTGCAACCCGGGAATTCCACAAACAACGCGGGAGCTTAGGCCGCTTCCACGGTGGGGCGATGGTGACTGCTATAGCCAGTGCTTGCATTTGCTGCTCCTAAGATACGGATCCTTTTCACTCGAACAAGGGCAGGTTACTTTTTCATTCTGCCCACCTTCCAAAACCTGGAATGGCTTGAGTACAGAGTATAGTCTCTTAAAAATTGAGGCTGACCCTTCCATAAAAAAAGTCCTGTCTTGATAAAAAGCTTTCTGCAGTAACCATATACTTAAATTTAAGTACAAGAAGGGGGGGGTGGTGAAGAATTTTTTCCCTTAAATGTCCTATACAGTGTGACAGCAATAAAATCATCAGAGAATACTATTAGCTTTGAGGGGGAAAAAAACCTAAAAGCTTTATTACAAACCAAGCTTTTAAAAAAGGGGGG